TCTTCAGTTGACCTGCCGGCGTGGACCGCCGCATCGAGCAACGTCACACGAGCGGAGTGGCCCGAAAGACGATTGACTTGCTGAGCAGCTGCTACAAGAGCTTCTTTGGAGCCCTTGCCGTACGCCGTCAGGGCATCTCGCGCAAGGGCTTTCATCCACTGCACCGAGCGGGAGTAGTCGGGGGGGCCCGGTCGGAACTCGTTGCGAGAGTTTAAATCCGGCGTCCAAAAATCTCGATCGAGGTCCAACTTCGAAAGAAGGCTCCACCCCTCTTGAACCCACTCCAACCCTGAGAACCCCACTATAAGGGAATTACGAACTTAGTGCCCCTACGCTTCCTTTCGACCTTGGTTTGCCACGAAACCCCAAAAAGACCGTCGTTACCTAAGACCAACTCCTTGGGGGAAACATGAGCACCATCGTCGAACCTCAAAGAAGCGTATACGAGACACAGCCACCACCATACAAACAATCTTGCCGGAGCCGGCTGTTCTGACATAACATAAACCTCGAGGCACCTTACTACCTCGAGGGGGATAGGGATCGCCTCTTTGAGCGTCTTCGCTCTTTTCAGAACCACTTCTTTCTGCAGAGCGAGGAGCTGAGGATCATCCAGGTTGGGGCACTCGATGGCGAGCCGTGAAGTGACCCAGCGCAGTGACGATCGCAGACCGAGGGGCCACACTCTTTGTCATCTAAAAACAAAGCGTATTTCAAAACTTTTTCGATCGAAAGCGGGAAAACCGAAACAGACTTCGCGAGCGCCCACAACTCAAACCTGTCCCAAGCTCCGACGTGGGCTCTCATCGTCCGATGTGCGCCCGAGCTAAGAACAAGATATCTGAGCTTCGTCGTCTCCGAGGAGGTGAGCTCATCGTTTTCCCCAGACTGATGAAAAAGCTTTGAAAAAGGGCCGGCCCGTTTCCCTATGTCTTCAAGCCGAGCGGCCCACTTGTGGCGTTCTGCTTGTTCTCGATCCAGCAAGGGAGTTGAAGTCGCTGAAACTGACGGATCCGTCTTCTGTCGTTTGGGATCCCGTTGAGGCTTCTGCAACAAAGCCTTGATCGCTGCCTGTTTGCGGAACGATTCCTCACGAGACAAAACCCTGTGTGCCTGGGCAGGTTCGCATATCCCGAAACCCAGTTGCACAGAGGTTGACTCAAAGAACATCTTCTCGATCGAGGCAGCTACCCCCCAAAACTGTTCGAGCATGGCAGGCTCCTCCAAGAGTGCTTGAGCTACTGCTGTATCCATCGTTGTGGCCCATTCAGCAACTTTCAGAACGAACTCTTGACCCGAGCTCACTTCCATTGCACTCACGAGAGCCAGGTTGGCCAGTGGTGACCCTACCAATGCTTTTGCGAACCCATCGGAGAAAATTGGCAGAGCTAAAACCTTCGACACCCACCTATCTACAGCCTGAGCCATGATGCTGTTCAGCCCGATCGGCTGGGGTCCCGCCGCTCGACACGAACGTGCTCACTAGGACTCCCACCTCAAGGCGCAGCATCCGGTGCAGGCGATCGCATTAGTGACGTGTCAAAGTTGAAAGCTTGAACAAGCATGAACAAAGAACACATCCAGACCTGGTACCTCGTGGAGCCTAAAAGAACCCTAGCTGAAAGCGTTCTCTTGTTCGAACTGTTCGAGCGACCATCCAAACACATCCTTTTTATTGAAGGATCCAAATCGTATCAACTGTTTGAACGTTTACTGTATTGATCACTTATCTATGCTATTGATATTATACCCAATCTGCTTGCAATTGAACAAATTAAGTCATCACATGTTGACGAGCGTCAGAGTGCGGTTAGAGTGAACACTAGAACTGGCATCACATATCTAGAACCAGCTCATGTGAACACATCAGACCCTCACTCTGAGCTCCCACGACTGCAATGGCTGAGCGTTGAACCTGCAGTGCGGGAAAGTCGTCGCGAACGCGAAGTTAGGGGCCCTCAAGCTCGATGTACGATCGACTTCCGAGCTGCCCCCAACTCCCCCGCCCGAGCGGACGACTGGTTTGCTTTTTTTTGGCTCAATCCGTGGAACGCTCTGTCGACCGACCTGGTGATTCGAGCGACCAAGGTGGAGCACCCATGGCTCTGCCCTGATCATGGTCTCTGTGCGACCTCATACATCAGTCACCTCTTCCTCCGGCAGCGGTGGAGCGAATGAGACTGCATGGGAGCCCAGCATGACCGTCCTCCGGCGTGATTTGCACTGAGGATGGTCGATCGACCCTTGACTGGTTCGCTTGCATGAGCCTCCTGGATTGGTTCACGAAGGCTTGGGGCGTCACGGCGGCATCTGCCATGAACTCTCCTCGCCTTTGTTCCAGCGAGCGCCCCTGGGCAAAGAGCTGTTGGACACTAGAGTCCGTGCTGGCCGATGCCACTTCACCCGGAGCCGTCAGCGAAACCTCTGCCTTCATAGCTCTTTCGATGGAGCGTAGGCGCCACCATGTCCTGCCAAATCACGAATGGCTTCCCACTTCGGTTGGGCGATCGCCACAGCAGGTGCTCCCATCGTTGGTGGGAGGATCATTGTGGCCTGCTCCGTGGCTGGATCATGGTACTGGAGCGCCATGGCCTCTTTCGGCGCGATCTTCTTTTCCATCTTCAGGAGCGGGCTCTCACACGTCAAGTGCAGGTTGTCTGAGTGGGAGCCCACATCAACTGCACCGATCCGAGCTCCTGTCTCCTCGATCGAGGCCGCCGTCATCTCCGAAGTCCAGTGAGCGTGAATCCCGGCGATCTGTGCCATCTGCATGGTCTGATCAGGACTCTCGATCCTGGCGAAGTTCTCCCGGCACCACCGGGCATTTTTCACCAGCGTCGGACCAGACACCCTTAGACCACCATCCACGAGGAGGGCACGGCAATGGTTGAACAACCCACGTCAAGACGGTCTTGAGCTGAGCTGAATCGGAACTCCAATCTGTCAGCGTCATGGCCGAACGAGTCGGCGGACGACACCGTCGTGAGCCTCACTTCAAAGTGGCATAGTGGGAAATCCAATGCCACTACTTGACCGCCCTCGCTGCAAGCGTAGATCTGGCCACCGACCTCAAATGCGATCGCGCAAACACGCCAGCCCTGGAAAACAGTGACTGTGCAGGATGGTATGAACAACACCTCGTCGAGACCCATCACGAGAGCATCATTCACGTAATTCAACTGCACTGTGGCGTCCCGATCGGAACGATAACCCCTCAGCTCGAGGTGGATCAGGAGGGCTCCTTCGATCTTCACCTTTACATCGATCCAGGTCGAGCTATCATCCCTCATGAGCGGCCATCTGAACGGTTGGAACGCTTTGTGGGACATCACGTCTCCAGTGAAGCTGTCCCACCTCCCACAAGGGATCGACCCATACGAAGTCATGGAGCCAACCACAATGAGCTTCTTGCCCTCGAGGGTCCTCATGTAGAACAAGGAGAGGTGGTATCCCGTCGAGGGGCTTCTGATCAGTCTGGCATCTGACAAGATGTTGACGCCAGCCTGGGCATTGACCAGAATCTCATCGAGCAGCCAGCCTTGGAATGGTGAAGAGATCCTCTGATCCCGGGAGTCCAGGACGAGCACGGACCTTTCCCCATCACCGGCGCCCACCTGCCTCAAATAAGGAGGGAGAGCCGTCCTCAGAGCATTGTGAACACCTCCCATCTGCCCAAAGCGAAGCGCCCGAGCTCCTTTGCGAGCGGCTCTCTCCTGCTGTTTTCTCAGCTTTCTGGATCCATACTGCAGGTTGACTCCAGCCAAAAAGTTCTGAGCCGCCTGAGTGGCGGGAGCCGCTGCCGAAGATCTGGCATCCCACCCCCAAGCAGGAGGAGGTGGTGGCATGAAGGGCTGATCAGCTGATGCTGGGCCCTGAGCCTTTGGGCTCTTCTTCAGGAGCCTGTTGCTTGTTGTATGAGCTTGCCTTGCTTGGTGTCTCTGCCTGGTCAGGCTTGACCTTGTTGTCGATGTCAACTGCTGGTGGATGAGGCAGATCGAGATCAGAATCACCAGGAGGCAGCTCGAGGTCTTGAGCATCTATCGGCTGCCAACTACCAGCACTGATAAAAGGAGCCGACATCTACTCAAAACCTAGGGGATCCCCAGGCCCTCAATCCACTGTTGGAAAATTTGATGCCTGGGTGATCACCCTTTATCGCCAAAATGGCATCGATAAGTGATCACTGACAAATCTGTGATAATTGAAGTGAGATAGACTGAACAGCATTAGAGAGTAACCTCTGTGTCCCAAACCTACCTTACCAAAGACACCGAACCCCCATTTGGATTGTAAAACCTCTTCAGCGCGGACAGCAAGACTCCTATATTACTATAAATCTTACACAGTTGTTGCGCAAACCGACTGTGCCCCTCACGCGGTTGCCAGATCCGCAGACCAGACCTGGGCTTCATAAATGGGAAAACCCGCTGCCACGTCAAGTGTTCCATCTTCGCGTGATGAACATAATTTCCATGTCATGCCAAGTTCATCGGTTGCGTGTGCCTTCGATGGGTCGGGTTTTCATCTCGCTCTTTGGGTTTCTGGTGACGTGTGTCAACGAGCATCCATCTGTACCATCAGCAATCACTCGTCAGCTTCTCACTGGCCCTGCTGGCAGGCCTTCAGCGCATCCATGAATGACTGGCATGAGGAAGCATCGCTGGA